CGTTTGAGAATGTCCAAAAATCATACGTGTGACATATCTCGCAAAACATCTTAGTCAGATTAGTCAGATATTAAAAAAGATAAGTCAGATATTAAAAAAGATAAATCGCCATTAAATAAAAGTAGACCTACCTGATGTCTATATTTCAGTCCGAAAAGGACTGGAAGACATGGCGGTTTAATCGACTGACCAGTCATTTAGAATTAAATTATTTAATTGTAATTTGAAAAGGTATAAAACGTCTAGTCTAAGTGCACAGACCATGATTTGGGAGTAGACGGAATAACCGGTAGTTTTTCGAGGAAAATTCGATTTGGAGTGGAAATCCCGGGCGAGACTCCTTTAAGGTTGTATAATTTCCATTCAATTTATCATTTAAGAAGATGCATTCCTGCTGCAAATAATGCGTTTTATTAATGCATGTCCTATTTATGAACATCGCTTAAAGGCAAAAGTAAACTATGGCCCGCTAATTTACATCCAGTTTCTGAATCTCTCCATCTCACTTATAGCAACTCGTAGACGCGTCATTAAAATGAAGAGGCAGCGTCGTTAACGTTATTCCTCCATCAGAAGAAACAGTTTCATCATCCTGCTTGTCCAGAGTCGTATACTATCACAAAATCGTTACCATATCTTCTAATTAAGCATCACGGGAAGAGAAACAATTGCATAATACACCGAAACTTAACAATGCATCAAGCAAGGCGTCTGAACGCACTCTGCCAATCTTTTTGTATAATGATGAATTAAAAATGCACTTGAATATCTGTTCATTTTGGTATCGGTGTGTGACATCATTCTAGAATTGTTGTTTAACTTTTCAAACTTTTCATTGTGACATATCAGTGTGTAATAAGCTAGAATTATTTTGAGGGGTCTTCTTATTTTCCAAAGACTAAGTTCAAACGTTAGTGAGACGTTTTTTTCTCAGAATTCAATGAATTCTTTGGAATGGTATGAAGGTATTCCCTCTCATATCTGTTCAGCAAGAGGATCAGTTTATGTAAACTCCCAAAAGGGACATCTTTAACGATTTCCCTCAATATAACCTTTCGTGTTTACAAATGTCCCTCTTCCACGGACGTTGAAAGGCAATTTATTTGTAGACAATGGGTCCTTAGCAACAAGAACGAAAGTGCGTAAAAATATTGCGCAATGATTGGAACAGAGCTGCAAATGATAATGCTTGATAACCAGCGAACGGATGACGTTCTTCAATGAGTCGTGTTTTTTATCCTTTAACGGGAAACGCTTGCTTGATTACTATCGCAGCCAAGCCTTCCATTTTCATCTTAAGGCAATGCAGCAGGCATAGCAATCAGTTAGCAAATTTGGGACACTCGTCTGAATAGGCCATAAATGGGTTGCCTATTGTGAATAACGTACCAGAGTTTCCAAGCACAGGAAAAATCCTCAACAGGCACGTAGCCGGGGGGTGGGGGGTGGGGGGTTTCGGGAGGTTCGAAAGAACCACCCTTTTTGCTGGGAAAAGGTCCACTCTGGGTAAAATTTGGGTTATGTTCTTGAGGATTTTATGGCAAAAGGTCCACTTTTTCAGAAAACGAACCCCCCCCCCCTCTGAAATTGCTGGCGGCTACGGGCCCGCTCTAGTATAGCTAGTACAGGATTCGCCCCTGACACGCGACTTTCTACTCATACCCCCTTCCCCGTTTGTCTACAGTACGAGTATTTATGTGGCAGGAAGGTATGATAATCTGGATTTAACCAGGCTAAGGTGTTTGCATAACATGTAGAAGAGGGGTGCATCAGAGCACGAGACTAAATAATTTAATTTTCTTATATTTCGTCACTCTTATGTGTATGAAATCCAAGTCATCTTCATGGAACATGTAATTTTGCTGTTTTTGGTTCCGTGTGTCTGTTTGTCCGTTAACAACATTGTGGAGAAGGTTTTGGGCGGATTTTGGGGAATTTTTTAGAAACTGTTGGGAGCGAACCAAGTGTCAAACGGTTAGACTTTGCTGGTGACCAATTAAATAATCAATTAGTTAATTAAAAAAGTAGGTTTGTCTGTCAGCAACATTATGCGAAACGTAGATTTTGTTGAAATTTTCAGGACAGGTCAGAAATGAACAACTCTTCACTTATAAAAACAGATTCATCATGTCCACGCACAAAATATTTACCAGGTTTATACCCAAAGAATTCTACAAGGAACAGGCTACATACATGTACATAAAATTACTTAGCATTCTACACCAAATGATAAGTTATCAACACACATCTAACATGAATGGCACTTGAAACGATCACTTCCACTTTATACTCCTTGACAGATGACGAGTTTCACAGAATTTTTTCACATTATTTGACTAAATGCACATTCGAGACGCAATCTTTGACCCATCATACACGATGTGCTGAAGACACAAAACAACTAAGCAAGTCCGACATATAGAAAAAAGGCATTCATACACTTTTACGTGCCACTACAAACATNGGGGGGGGGAGGGGCTATTGAGTAACTAGAAATCTTGATCTTGGAAAACTGAATACGGCGTAATGTTAGACGACAACGAAGGCAGGTATTTTCAGTGGCGGATAGCAATCTGACAGTCCGTCACGCAAAGCCCCGTTTCATGAAAGTGAAATTTGTTCCAGGTTTAATCCAGAAAATTTTAGTTTGTTTTGATCAAAGAAAAATGTATAGCGGTTAATTAACTTGAAATAAAACATAGTTTTGTCATTTCTTTCTTCTTTTTGAGAAAATGAATAAAGTCTTCTAGGAGACCAGGGGCCCGTATCTCGAAAGCATCGCGCATTGCTACCGTGCGCAAGCGTCTCGATTCCATAACTCACCCATACTCGCCCCATATAATACATTGTAGCCTCTATGTGATATCGCTATTCGCAATACCCGATGCTTTCGAGATACGGGGCCCAGGACCATATACAGGATATTTATTGTGATGGCCTACAATATTTTATCCGCACTGAATAAGCCTGCCTTTTGACTTCGTATACCAGTAAATACGCGGACATACCATGGTCATAACAACGTTGATAAGTGAGCAAACCCCACCACTAAACAACCGTATTATCAATATTCACCTGAAATACAAATAGATGCAGTACACGTATCTGTTTAAGAGGTAGCCTCATTATTCAATCAAGGGGAGGGGACAGTTTCATCATCCTATTTGTCTAGAGATGTAAGGTGCACGTGATGTTACGAAATATGTTAGACCTTCTTTGGAGCCTTTACACACTGCTCAGTGCACCACTGTATTACACAGCATTTCACATATAAAAAAACATGCAAAGAGCTGCTATTTTTTTTATTAATTTCCTCTTTAAACACCCAAATATCCTAGTTTCCACACGTTGAACACCTGTTAAGACACGCCTGATGTGACGAAGGGACTGTGTTCAGGGTTTAACGTAAAGAGTTGATCACAGTCAGTATTGACCCCTTTTTTGACACCACGCCCCACCCTTTAGTCCCTAGTAACTAAACACAGTGCTTTGGGTTATGAGTTGGTAAAAGATAAACTGTATTAAAAGTATGCTAGCTGCGTTTGAGAATGTCCAAAAATCATGCGTGTGACATATCTCGCAAAACATCTTAGTCAGATTAGTCAGATATTAAAAAAGATTAGTCAGATATTAAAAAAGATAAATCGCCATCAAAAAAAAAGTAGACCTACCTGATGTCTATATTTCAGTCCGAAAAGGACTGGAAGACATGGCGGTTTAAGCGACTGACCAGTCATTTAGAATTAAATTATTTAATTGTAATTTGAAAAGGTATAAAACGTCTAGTCTAAGACCATGATTTGGGAGTAGACGGAATAACCGGTAGTTTTTCGAGGAAAATTCGATTTGGAGTGGAAATCCCGGGCGAGACTCCTTTAAGGTTGTATAATTTCCATTCAATTTATCATTTAAGAAGATGCATTCCTGCTGCAAATAATGCGTTTTATTAATGCATGTCCTATTTATGAACATCGCTTAAGGGCAAAAGTAAACTATGGCCCGCTAATTTACATCCAGTTTCTGAATCTCTCCATCTCACTTATAGCAACTCGTAGACGCGTCATTAAAATGAAGAGGCAGCGTCGTTAACGTTATTCCTCCATCAGAAGAAACAGTTTCATCATCCTGCTTGTGGGGAAAGAACCACCCTTTTTGTTGCTGGGAAAAGGTCCACTCTTGGTAAAATTTGGGTTATGTACTTGAGGATTTTATGGCAAAAGGTCCACTTTTTCAGAAAACGAACCCCCCTCCCTCTGAAATTGCTGGCGGCTACGGGCCCGCTCTAGTATAGATAGTACAGGATTCGCCCCTGACACGCGACTTTCTACTCATACCCCCTTCCCCGTTTGTCTACAGTGCGAGTATTTATGTGGCAGGAAGGTATGATAATCTGGATTTAACCAGGCTAAGGTGTTTGCATAAAATGTAGTAGAGGGGTGCATCAGAGCACGACACTAAATAATTTGATTTTCTTGTATGTCGTCACTATTATGTGTATGAAACCCAAGTCATCTTCATGGAACATGTAATTTTGCTGTTTTTTGGTTCCGTGTGTCTGTTTGTCCGTTAACAACATTGTGGAGAAGGTTTTGGGCGGATTTTGGGGAATTTTTTAGAAACTGTTGGGAGCGAACCAAGTGTCAAACGGTTAGACTTTGCTGGTGACCAATTAAATAAATCAATTAGTTAATTAATAAAGTAGGTTTGTCTGTCAGCAACATTATACGAAACGTAGATTTTGTTGAGATTTTTTTGTTGAAATCAGGACAGGTCAGAAATGAACTTTTAAAAACAGATTCATCATGTACACGCACAAAATATTTACCAAGTTTATACCCAAAGAATTCTACAAGGAACAGGCTATATACATGTACATAAAAATTACTTAGCATGCTACACCAAATAATAAATCTTTGACCCATCATACACGATGTGCTGAAGACACAAAACAACTAAGCAAGTCGGACATATAGAAAAAAGCCATTCATACACTTTTACGTGCCACTACAAACTTTATGTTCTATTCTTGATGACCGTTAAGTGCGTAAAGGTGATTTGCATGAGGAACATGTAGTTGTTGTTTAACACGACATACTGATTTTGTCAAGTCATCGTGTGAATAATAATGCATGTAGATTATCTCTTTCCCCAGGTTCACCGTTGGCTTAGAACTTGAAATCCAGGATGAAGACAGGGCGATGTGCAGGCAGGATTTTGACTATTTTCTTTGGGCTATTTCTCCAAGGTAAGATGTTTGTAATTTCTGATATTTTTATGAAAGACAAAACGTGGTCTCTGCTAGTAGCCTACTATTTGATCAGTGATGTCGGGTGACAAAGGCAAATTCTATTAAACCCCACTAAAAAGGACGCAAAACTGCTTTAAAACAAGCCAGTCTTTATATTTATATTATACTTATATTTTTACAGTGGGTCGCCCCACCCTCACCCCTCTTTTCCCTCGTGAAAGTCCTGAAAGTTCCACGTTTTGGGTTTTGATTTGCAAATTTGTCGTTTATGTGATCTGCAAAATGAAAAGCGCGGTGAAACAGACATGCCAAGTTGAATATCAAATCTTCGTACAGGTTTCAGTTATCCCAATGGCGGAATATTGAAGACGTGTGTGAACCTGCTTCCAAAACACCACGGCACTAATCAACAGACAGGCAAGGCCCCCTACACCCTGAGTGTCGCCAAAGACACTTATAAGCCTGGAGAAGACATTGCAAGTATGAGGTCTTTATTAGTTCTCAAAGTGTTTTGGTAAAATTGTTTTCTGTGCCATACACATTTGCCAATTCAATCATACCAAAAAAGATAAACATAATATTTTTGTGACTCTTGATATTTGCCCGCAACAAGTGCAGTAGTGAATCAAGAAGACAATACGTTTTTATAGCACAGCTTTTTTTTTCAGCTAACACCCCATTTCCATAGATTAGATCGACCTACTTTAGATCGACCTAACTCCCTGGGGGTTCACGCTAAATAGCTGTCAGCCGGGCGGACACGAAAGTTAATTACCCTCTTACAGCTTGTAGTAGGCGGGACGGACATTTAAGTCGGATTATCTGAAAGTAATCTAGTGAGACTCCCCGCGGGGATAGATCGATCTAAAATCTATGGGAATAGAGCCTAAGTCTTGCTGTGTTATGAATCGGCGTGTTTTTTATGTATTATCACGAAGAGTGTGCTCTCATTGATAATAATGACATCAAGTTATTATGATCTACACTCTTGGTTTTCACTTTTCCAGTCGAATTAAAATCACAGAAGATTCCATTCCGTGGTTTTCAAATCATGGTGCACAGACGGGAAGGCGATACTGAGGAACTGATAGGAAATTTTACTGAATTTTCGACAGATTCTAAACCCTTCAAGTGGTATTCGGAGAATATAGTAAGTGATCACATGTTGACGGAGATTTGGTCGTCTGTTGTTTATGAAGTACGAGGTTAAGGGACATTAAAATGTTAACGTATTCCTGCGGTCTAAGGAATAATAATGACTACTTAATGTTTCCGCAGCTTTGAAACGCTTTAACAAATATAGAGCATTTGAAATGACGTCAAGGTGTGCGTTCCATGACTCTTTTATCAACATAACACGACTGTATTTTGGTTTAGTGCAACATCCAGGCACATTGCTTTTTACTATTTTTTGTCTATAATTTTAGGAGTAATGCCTTACAGTAAGTCATTGTGCCAGTGACTTCGGGTTATCTTTCAATTTTACTTTCATCTACCTCTATCTATTAAAAGTAAAGTTTAAGAGGAAAACTGATGATTTTGCGCTTGTGAATTTTATCTAGAATTGTTTGACGCACAGCGACAACGAAGACAAAACAAAGGTTCAGTTTAAGTGGAAAGCGCCTGGTGTTTCAGAAGGGGACTTGATTGTCAGGTAACTTACAGACTAAGCAACGAATTTTTTTACTTGAAACACTCTTTGAGCACCATGATATAAAAATCTCATTGATATAATAATTGTTTTACAGTGTTTTTCGTTTTATTGAACTCAATTTTCTAACCCACAGGGCAGCGTTCGTGAAAGATTTCGAGCATTTCTGGGCCAACGAGACCCATGTTTTGAGAGCAGAGGTCCCCGTGGTTGTGAACGAGACTTTCCCGTGGAGGGTAATTATCTTGCTATTGGTTTAGATAAAAAATAATCACTGCGACACAGTTTTAACCGACAATCCTATATAAATCAGTTTTTGATTTTACACACTTGTACTCCCAATTTCAAACTCATTGACTTACTAACGATTAATATCACTTATCAGATATACTGTATAATTGGAAACAGTGTGTCAGTGAAATTTTAGTGTTTATAAAAATTATGCTTAAATAATAATAATAATATCATTCAATAAGTAGATAAGCCTAATATCTTCTTGATAACATTTGCCTCCACATATTCACATATCTACATATTCATCCCCAACTGCGTCTCACCTGTTAACCTCTATTCTCAGGTGTCCATGGACTTTAAGCCGATGCGCGTCCGTGAGGAGTGCGGGGTGACCAAGGGGTGTGTTAAGTGGCCCAGACTGTGCCAGGGAGAGGACTGTGATGTGCTGGTCATGTACAAAACAGAAGGAGACCACATCGACTTTGAGATGTTTGGAAAAGCAGAGGCGTATTTGTCGCTCGCTTTCTCGGATGACAAGAAAATGGTGAGTAATGTTGGTGAAATATAATTGGAATAAAAAAGGTCTACCGTCGCAAACATTGCACAGGTCGCCATTCAAAAATTAGAAACTGTTGGACATAACTTGTAACAAATTATTTACGTCGTGGAAAATGCTTAATATTGAGGTCACAGACATATTTAATACAATAAAAATATTTTTTAATTGGATAATACTGCAATTGATGACAAAGGATTATTTCTTATGTATTTTTCTTTTTCTTGATTAATCAAAAGTGTGTCAGTCTGACTTAATTCACTGCAGGGCAAGGATGAAACCATCACGTGTATGTACAAGGAGTCAGTCATACAAATTCAACATGGGTATAATCCAATGTACTTCAACGAGAGAATCAGAAATGTGGGTACAACAAAAAAAGAGCAAAACACTCATAATGAATTTTAATTCTCATTGTATTCACTTACAATATTAAAATATTCATAGTCCATATAAGACATTCAGGACTAATGACGCGCTTCCATTCCGATGTGGCATGAAACTTCAGAATATTACTCGTGTTAATTTTTTTGTGAAAATACGGCTTGTAATTTGAAAGAGAAATTAGAAATACCTTTTAGTTCCTTTTAAATCGTTTATCTCTGTCGCGGATGGTGTTAATTTTATATCATTGTTAAGTGTTTAAATCGTTATTGAATACGCCACCTTTTAATTCACCCAGACTGTATTATCTAACGTGGAGATGATGCGTGATGGCGAGAGAATGTACTGTCGGTTCCGCAGACCCCTCAGTTTCACGCCAGACCTGTGGCTCAGCCTCGCGAACAAATATCCTCCAACGCCTATCAAGGCCATCACTTTCGATCTTTCCAAACCATGGATACTTTTCCTTGGCTGGGGGCATCTGTATACAGGTTGGTTTGCTGTCGTGTTTATCTTTTGTACTCTTCTTGTCCTGAAATACCTTGTGTATTAAAGCAGACATAATGAATTAGCCAAAATAAATACATTTTTTGCATTTTTTTTTAATTCAAATGTTTTATCCCTTATTTCTGTATTAAAATCTCTCATCAAATTTAGTATAGCCAACCATATGTTTGATACACCATTAGACATTCTGCATTAACGAAAAACTATTCGTTACAACATATTAAATGATATAAATATTCACAATCCTTCCTCCATACCTTCCCATCTAATAGGCACGGACGTGGTGGGGCATCATAAAGAACTCCCCTTGATAACCAGCAGTCCTGTAGACTTCCAGTCCACCGCCGTACACTATGGGCAGACGCTCTCAGTCGAGGTACAAGCACATGGTAAGACCATCTCGCGGTCTCGCTACCTTTATTTGCATATATTTCTGTCAACATTAAATGTTTCACTGTTATGTGTAAAATGGCAACTTGTTCTTTCAAAGTATATTGTGATGTCTTTCCATGTTTAAGGTTAATGATTCACTGATTTTTCCCGCGTTTCAGGAACCCTCATGACGGTGGCATGGGTGGCATTAGCCGGGTTTGCCATGGTTGTCGCTCGCCATTACAGAAACGCGTTTGGAAATAACTGCTGTGGTATTAAACTGTGGTTCCAGGTACTGGACCCTGGGGTCATCAGTATATTAAACGTGTAAAAAATTTCTCTGCATCTTGACTTTTTATTAGCGGCCGAAGATGTACTTTTCCTGTCTCATGTAGACCTAGTTTGGTTTTTCTCTCAAACTCGTGAATAATTTATTTAAAGCGTATTCTTTTAATGTTATTATTTATTTGTTTCATTTTTATTCACTGACAGATGTTTTTTATATAATTATTGTTGTAATTATTATTATTATTATTATTTCAAATTTTACTTTATACTCATCTGCTTTGTTTTGACAGAAAAGTCCAGTATAAGCTGAATCATGTTTGGCAAACTTTCAAGTGTCGAATTTTCTATTGAGAAACTGCACATTTTATGTGAAAATAAACAGAAAAATATCACAACTGCAAACATAATAGCTTTATATCATACCCCAATTGTTTCTGTATCACTGAATCCTATCTTTTCTTCTCCAGATCCACCGCTTGATCATGATTCTGGTTGCCGGTTGCACGGCGGCAGGCATCGTGCTGATATTTGTTTATGTTGGAGATTGGAGAGAGGTAAGGTATACAAAGCACACTGTTCGAGATGACGGCGTATATTTATCTTGGAGTAAAACACTTCATGTCATGTATTGCCAGGCTGGCTGTCTAATGGTTTAATATTAAAGACAATTTCACAGTGAAAAGCAGGGGTGCCCTCGTTGTGCGAAGTTGAAAAATATAATTAACAACAGAAAAACATTAGCTTTATTACCATAAGCGATGTTTCATACCCCATGCAACGTCGTAAACGTAAGTGTACTGCACCAGTGAAAAAACTGATTTGAAGATTTGAAGTTTGTCTAACGCTAAGTACAAACATTATAATTGTAAATGTATTTAAATATTTTATATTAAAAAAATACAACCAAATAAATAAAACTCAGTCCCGTTTTCCTAGCGATGAGCATTTACAAAGAAAAATCAGTATCGAAAAGTATTGTTAAAGGTAGTAGGAACAGGGAATTATATCCGATATAATTCCCTGGTAGGAAGCAATGACTTGCCAAACATTAGGCTGATCACCATTGTGTTTTATTGTCCTCCTCGTCTTCTCTACCACACCAGGTTGCCACGCTTCACGCCGGGTTTGGACTGGCGGTGATGGGAATTGTGCTGCTGCAGATGATCATGGCCTTCTGTAGACCAGACCCAGATGCGTCCAGAAGGAGGGTCTTCAACTGGGCACATAGAATTTTTGGAAAGTTGTCTCATGTGGTTGCAGGTAAGCTATTAACAGACAAAAATGTCTTGTGTAATACTCAAAATGTACTCTTGGATTATATAATAATTAGATTTTATGTTATATCGTATAACAACAAAACTTATTTTTGAAATTAGCGATTAAAAGGCGTGCCCGCCCGCGCCCGCGCGCAAGTATGTGTTGGCTCCAAATCAAACAGGCTGTGATCGTATGAGTCGCCTGCTTGTCCCGACGCCTTATATATCACTTTTTCGGATATACTATGTTTAACAAACATGTTTCTTTTCAGTTGTGGCACTGTTTCTTGGGGTAAACCTCAGCCTGCTGCCGGAGAAATTCCGTTTTAATCAGACGGTGGTGCTAGGTGTCTGGGTTATCACACAGATTTTGTGGGAAGTCATCTTGGAGATTATGAAGTGTAGAAGAGAAGCCAGCGGTAAGGGAATTTACAACGGTAATCCGAAGTTGATCTAAAGTTGTGTATTCATTGGGTAGGCTAGATGGAAAATATCACCTTGTATGAAGTATTGGGTATCAGTTCATGAAAAGTAGAATTTGAACGACATTTGCTCTTTTCTATGCAAAGATTTAGACAAGGTCTGTAATGTAGCTATTAAATCTTTGAATCGCAGTTACGACCTAATTTCGAGAGATTTTTATTTGATAAAGACGATCGTTCATGTGTTTGCTGTGCTAAATTGTTTTTTCGTTAAACTTCCAGACAAACGAGAAATAACCATAAGTATGGATCCCATAGGCAACGGTAAGTCAAAATATAAAAATATATTTTCGTCACAAATTGAACTATGTAGTAACTTAATGAGCATCTCACTATCCCGTTCCAAATTTACCAAATTAACTATAAGCCGCTTTAAAAAAGGTTCTTTCTCTGATTTACCGAAGTGAAACGGTCACAAACGTTATTTTCAAACAATTCATCTATATCTATCACAATGGAAAAAAACCAAAGTACAGATGTTGCAATTCCATGCATTTAGACAACCTCATTTAAAACTAAGCTGGTCGATAATAAATAACATCAAATCCAAAGAATGCTGGATTTCATAGCCGACGTTTCGCGTAGATATATGACTCATACAAATGTAAATACAAAGGACGTTGCTGTTATTGGGGACGTGTATGCTGTATGTTTTCAGAAATTACTTTGATATGTCAGAACGACGCCGGGTTTATCTTAAAGTTGTTTGAATACTTTTTGTTAAACATATTGATTTCTGAACGGTTGAAAGGCGCTGTAACATATGTGATCTTATTCTCTATTTCAGGAGATCACACCAAGTCTAGCCTGGATTCCGTGGAGAATCCTAGGAAAAAGCAGGGTTCTGCGATACTGGCATGCGCACTCGCTCTGTACGGCATCACTTTACTGGTGTTCGTCGCAGCCATTTTAGCTCTCATTTACATGTTTTAACTTTGATGAAGTAATCGCTTGTTGTGTACATATGACAAACTGAGTGCTGACACAGGTTGATTTGACCTGAACGACGTCAAAACTTGAAAAAATGATATAAATCCCTTTGACCATGTTTTAAATGCATTTTGTATTAACATTCATTTTATTAACTGAATAAAATTTTTAATTTTTCGCATTTATTATACATTTTTTTCACGCATTTATTATACATTTTTTCACACATTTATTACACATTTTATACATTTGTGTAAATATATACAAAAGATGTTATGTCGGTTAAATATTTCAATACCCACATATGTGACAAACGTTACTGAAGAGCAGATTTTGATATTATGCTAATCATTCATCTAAATCGCGTTCAGTTTGTTATTTACGAACATGTTCTTTGGCATAAGGCGTTAAAACATGAGAAGTAACCTCCCTCCCCTCCCCACTAAACAATTTTTAAAAACCAGAGAGGTAATAAGCGCAAAAAGCAGGCGGGGGGGGGGGGGGGGGGGGGGGGAGCAAATGGGGTTTCAACTTCCTTAGTGCAAATATCTCTGACAAAATTCACACCTTTAACGTTTGGTTGAAGTATTAGATCACAGTCCTGGCCCTTAATATTATAACTATTCAGTTGTAATAATTAGCAAATAAACAAGAGTAAGTAAAATTCAATTACTTTTTTATTTCAATAATAATAGCATTACTTTCTCAGCCTCCAACTTTTTCAAAATGTAACTCTCAGAAATGATTAAACTTGCAAAAGAGAGAGAGATCTCAGAACTACATAAGAACCAGCAAACACTGCTGTATCATATACGTTAAAACTGGGTTTCTAACTTCAATGAATAATTTGAAGTCTAATCTCGCTTGTGCAGAAAGTTTCATGAAATAAAAGGCATTTCTGAACATAATGTTAAATATTAATATTTCTTAATACCATTGTTCAATACAGTTTGACAAAAGATGTATGCTCCAGAGATGTTTGAACTTATAAGCAGTCTTGCATATAAAGTAGGCAAAATATCAATATCATAACAATACGTTTTTAGGATTTTCAATGACAATATAGAGACATCTGACAACTTCATTTTACCATAAATCTGTAACAGGCAATTTTTCTTTGGAAACATTCAATTCTATCTAAGATACAGATCACAAAACAACTCATGTAATCAATTAACATATATAAACCCATTTTCCCTCAGATAGTTAACTTTTACATTTTTTTAACATGTTCTCTGAGCAACATATCTAACACTTGTTTATATTCTTAATATGTCAGTATCTTTATTTGGGGACATCTGTGAAGAGATATAGAAAGCCGATTGTTGGAATTATATAAAACAGGAAATAAAAAGATGATAAAACTCAAATAATTCTGAATATATACATATACAACAGAAACTTTATCAAAACCACTGCTTTCAAATTAAATTCCCTCTTCTAAGTACAAGATATGGATCCACTCTCTTTTTTCTAGCATGTTATAAGTTTCTTAGAACCCATTCAAATATGGTGGACCCTACATGAAAGAAGAGGCCACTAATCTGCAGATGGTTTTCCTGCCTCTAAATGCGCCATCCAGGAGTTTAGCAATTAAATCTCTGAGCTGTGATTTAACCCATTTATTTATGGCTCATGTGAAGCAGGGAGACCATCAGCAGATTAGTCCGCTCTTCTTTCATGTAGGGTCCGCCATATTTAAGTGGTGGAACAGAGTATCCTAGGATTCTCTATTGAATGGGCTCTGAGTGTGCCACACATTAATAAGGAATGGATCAGTTTTTACTTTTAAATTAGTGAACAGCAAGTAGATAACATAATACAACTAAAGCAAATTACAAAAAATAGAAATAGAAATCAATAAAGTCTTTGGTGTTCAAAAGGCCTTAATTGTAGGGACTCAAAACATGTGCATATAAAGAAAAGCAATTAAGACAAACACAATTGACACTGATACCAGATGGTACTGGGGAATAAAGCAAGTTGCAACCATTTTTTTTTTATTGCAATGGAACAATGCTTTCTATTTTCAGCAGGATTTATGTAAATAATCTCAAAATAACAAGCACAAAAATTACCAACTTAATTATTTAATGTTGGCACTATGTGAACCAAACTTAGTTTAACCTTATTAAATATTTAAAAACTTTCACAACATCTATTTGTCTTTATTCACTTATTTCAATGAAGGTTCTTTCTTAATACCAAACTGCTAATCTGTCCCCAGGCAGGGCACTGATATAACTGGAATTAATATAGTCATTGACAACTCAATTTTTTCTTTTAGCTCCCAGTACCATTTTCAAGATGGAGGTGTTCAACAATGCCGCATAAAAACAGCTTATTTTATTAACAGAAGAAAGAAAAACGGATCTTTTTCCACATTTGATACTTGTTCATGAGATCACACAGATATTTATGACAAAATTCAGATGAACCATGTAAAAATTACTCCAATCTTTCCCAACAGCCAGGTACTGGGAACAACATGGAATTGAATGTGGCTGGTTGATATAATCTTGATGTGTAACTGATAATGTTATTGTGATTGAAGTCAAGTATCAAAAACATTTACACATCCAAACCAGGTACAGGCCACAATGTAAGCATGTTTTGGTAAGTCATGTGTCACTAACATTTAAAACAAGAACCCACAATACACTTAGGACTAATTCCCATTGAAACTATCAGTCTGTTCTCCTGGCATTGAGTAGAATAAAGAAAATCTGGTGATTATAGAAGTATGTTAGAAACAAGAGGCGTGTGTATCTCTTAACCTGATTGCATTCAGCTAGAGTCCCCACAGAGTTAGATAGATCTATGTAGACAGTCAGTTTCAATGGGAATGAGCCCTTAGTTTTTCTTTAAAGCTTGTTGAACTATTTGGCATCTGATATTGCAAACTGATATCAGTTCGACCTATGTGATAATATCACAAATAGATAATAACAGTAGAGTAACAAGTACCTAACACCCTATGAAAAAATTGATCTGAATATCTAACAGACATTAAAACACACTTTGCACCACTTACTGCAAACATTTAGTATTGCATAGATTTTCAAGTATCATAGTTAGCTACGTTTTTGTTTTAAATATCTTATTAAATTTACTCTTTTCATCAAATAAGCTTCGTATAAGCAAAACTTGTGTTAATCCCACTACTGCCATGACCACCAACTGAAGTGGTGCATAAAAGTTGACTCTCTCAAAATTGTGTTCCTGTGTACTTCTGTCCCTCGCCTCCAGAACTCTGAAGATATTCTGGTATGAGATAATTTTGTCCATGTTGGCCTTGACAGAATCCATCACACTCTGGTTAATGAAATAAAAATAACGTTGATTAAAAAAGATATGTTAGAACAATTCTTTGAAATAAAGTTGTGTGATGTTTCCCACTTGGCAGGACATATCAGGATATAATATATTTTTTATGTTCAGTTATTACACTGCAATGTAGAGAATTCAATATTGTGTAAGCTACATTCGATATCTGTATCAGCAACAATTTAAGTTGTATTTAAAGCTGAATTGATTGCACTTGGCACAACTTGTTACTGCAGGCTCTCTCATTACAAATACTAGTATTTTCACAAATAGGAGCACACATGTTTCCCTGCAAACAAACTCTGCAATTTGAGAGCAATAAGAAAGCAACAGAATGAACCATGTTAGGCTGACCAAAATTGACAGGGAACAGAACTATAGAGCAGAGAATGAGCCACAAATAGGTTGCATAAATGGCAAGCATAAAATGTTAGACTGAACTGAAAAGACATTACCTTAAAATCCTCTAGCTTGATATCCGCAAGTTCTGGAGACTCTTTTAAATTTTCCCATGCATTTTCTATTTCATTCACTTCATCATCATCATATACAATTTCAAAAAATACCAGCTTTCTTGAGAAACGACTAAATGAGTTGTCAAAGCATATTTGATAGTCTCCAGTTTCTTCTGTAGTCACCCTAAAGAGATTACCAAACATTAATTCAAATTCCTTTTATATACAAATTTTAAGTCACAGGAGCAGAATGTTACAACAAAATAGTGCCTAGTAAAACATGAACATATGTACATGTTGTCTGTACTATTGTGTCTATACATAATTATGAGTAAAGTGGTTCAAATGTATTCATAACCAACCCTTTAAATATTAGGCCTATTATAATCATGACCTGGCTAGCAAGGAGCGAAAAATAATAAATTCTTTTAAAATTAAAATAAAAAACAACTTACTTATGAACTGCATCACTTCTTCTACGATCTGTAATTAAAACTCTGCCTGATGGGGCTTCTATTGCGAAGTCAATGTCTATATCACCACCATCTATTACCTAAAATGATTAAATAAGAAAAGAGTGGCTAATTGAACAAAATTAATTCCTTTAAAGAGGTCAATCAATATGGATCAATGTGACTATAGCCAGAATGCCAAGTTCAACTGCCTATGCAGGGTTTTACCTTAACCAGGGGCGGATACAGTTATTTTCTGACAGTCTCCCAAATTATCTTTGTTGATCCATTCTCCATTTTTTACCGTCTTCTGACAGAAAAAATTAGATACTCGTCAATGTAAACTTGAAAATCTGACCATCTTCCAGAAGACCCAGAAGATGCCCTAAATCCGCCCCTGTTAACTATATCATCTTTTCCATGCAGATATGTTTCTTACAACAAATTACACACTTCAATCCAAATGAATTGATACAGTATGACAAAGAGTACAACAACACATTCAAAATGACCTCTTTACCACCTCTTACTGCTGAGCAAGAGACAGCATGTCTTACAGAGAAAATAATGAAAAAGGAAAATATTCAACCATCACTTCTTTAAAAGAAGTCATAAGAAAACATGTCACAAGTAAAAGACAGCTAATATAATTAGTATTTTACTGCCTTTGGAATTCAGCAACTGACTTCTTCAACTTAAGTTTCAGTTTTTTCATTGAAAAAAAAACTATGACCTACATACCATATGTCAAAGAAAATTCATAAGCTTGTTCTTTGATATATATCCAATCAAAATGTATCCATTATTATTATTATTCTGTATCAGAAACAAAGAAAGAATCTAAGCATCATTGCAATAAGAAGTCAGGGCTGAAGAGCAGATTTTTAACAACTTGTCTCAATCAGTGGCAAAAATAGACTTATCAGCAGCATACAAATCATCAAGTTGAGAGGAATGCGGTACAAATTAGATGCCTTAAAGTTATAAGAAGTAAATTAACCAGTTCACAAAGAGTCACAAAAATGTTTACATGTGGATAGCAGAAAATTTAAAACATGAAAACACTTAAACGGAGATGCTGGGACCTTTTTTTGCGGACAAAGTGTTGGCTGACATCTAAATAAATCATCAGTTGAACGAGATGTTATCGAACCAACACAGTACACTTTACAAGTTGACACACCATCACCAATGCACACTTCACCAGCCATGCAGAGTGTCATACCTGAAATTCAACTTCCAAAGTCCGTCCATTTGCTATCTTTTGGAAGAAGCATTCCCTTTTGGCTGGCTCAATATCAATCGTGAAATCATGTTCATGGCAGTAACATGCTGTGACTAGTATCAAAACAGTAAAAAAAATAAATGACACTGAACTTTCCAGTCTCATTTTCCTCCCGATTTCCAACTTCGTCTACTCTGTTCAACCGGAAACAGATGGTCGTATAGACCCGCATTGAAAGTTAGGGTTAGATTTAATAAGGCAAAATAAAAATATACACATACTTTAAATTGCCCCAATCAATATTTAATTGATATCCAGTGATATCCTTAGATTATATGTTTACAAGTATGTATTTCTATTTTCACAATTTTTTCATCCGGGCCTCGATATGGAAGATACTGTTTACTCCTTATTTGCATAAATCTTCAAAGCTTAGAATATAGTACATCAATATTTGCCTGATTTTCGGTAATCCTGTCTTTGAGATAACAGTTCTGTGCATTTGAAATGAGTTTTTTATTTCATCATATTTTGAGTTCGCAAACTGATACTAATATGATGAAAGAATCACAAGCATATGAAATAAACGGCGTTTTAATATCGTTTTCGCGAAGATAGTAAAAAGGTGGAACTACATTTACTGAGCCTCTTTTATTCCAGGTGCGACAATTTTGTGAATTTTGTAATCTGGAACGAGTTTCCTTAAAAGTTTTTTATGAACTTTGACGAGCCTGTTCAGTAGTATTTGGAACTTTGAGTCGCGAGGTAAAAGATATGACTTTTCTATGTAATGTACACAGTTCTCTTTAAGTGGGAGTGCGTTTGACAAATTTTAATTTCTGGGAAACCCTCTTAGAACTTCTGAAATGGGTCAATTTCGGGAATTCCTCAAAACCCCTTGACTTTCAGTTATCAGGGTTGTCTCCCATAACAGTAATACAGCAATGGATGACAACGTCGACGAATGCTCATTAGCGGAAAGCTTTGCAGATAGCGAAGGTCCTGCAACGTCAGAGGCATCTGATGCGTTTCCTCAGACAAAAGAAACAGATAGTGACCTGTTAGTGGACAGTTCACAAGAAAATGCCAACAGTGGTTCAAAAAGCAGTAATAATAACAATGAGGATGCAGCCGAAACTAAGCCGCCACTGAGCCATGAGCTCAAACAGGGATTAAGGATTCTTCGAGAAATTATGTATGAAGTTCACAAATCCGTGAACTGGCCGTTTATGGATGCGGTCGAAGTTGAACGCCTCGAACTTTGGGATTATCACCAGAGAATCAAGAAACCCATGTGGCTAAAAAAGAGTAAGCTTTTGATAAACCTCAACATATTTTCTTGATTAAATAATATCGTTCTATGGCAAATAATAATTTTGATCCATCGGCTACCGACATAAATGTTGCCTTACTTTTCAAGGTCAGACTGGGAATTCCCACATTTTGGGGATACCCTTAATTTGCATATTTTGTTTCTATTAATAGTAACCCTAATTTATTATGACTTTTGTAGAATATGTAAGACTTACTCATACTCATGTGCAATAAGTAGTATATTTGGTCCCAGGTTGTGCACATGATTTTCTTGCATATAACAAAGCCATCGTATACCTAAAAATTCTATTTACATTATGACTTTCACATGGAAAACACTGAAAATAGCAGACAGTTATAGAAAAAATACTAAGTTAATATTTTGAAGGTGTAAGTTAAGTGTGACTGTAAACTGGACGATTTGATAAATAAGTTTGATTCCAGGTTGGCAGCACTAGTAAGTGCAGATCTATGCTTAGATGACTATCCTTATGAACTTTCTTGTTTATTTCCTTGCACGTAATAGATGAAATGAAATTTATATTTATTGTGCTTTATTGTAGCAAAATTTCCCTTGTAATGAACATGTTATTAACCTATCTTATAACTTTTCTTTAAGTGAAGGAAAAGTTTGACAACAGAGAATATAATACCATCACCGAGTTTGTGGCTGACTTTCGGTTAATGCTGGAGAACTGTTTCCGTTACAATGGACCCGACCATCCCATATCAAAAAAAGGCACAAAGCTTGAAACGATCTTGGAACAGAAGTTGGTGCTTCTCTCACGGTACAGTAATGTTATTATTATTATTGTATCAGGGATTTTACAGTTTTTAAAGATTAAACTGCTTAGTTATGTGGTAATCTGAAGTGAAGAAGTAGTATTAAATTAAGAATAGGACTAGTTTTTCATGTGGGTGTGTCAATGCACTTGCCACAGCAAATATCTCCTAGCACTGACACAAACCTTGCTTCATCATGGATAGATATTTATTATAGTAATTTTTCCAGGGAATTAAGAGAAAAGACTTCCATTGCTGCCACATCAGGACAACCAGTCACCTATGAAGCAATTACGAGTAAGTCTTGAAGGCGATAAAATCGAATAATGACACTCTTTGATTTTATTTTTTATTATTTTGTGGTGGAATAAACTGTGAAAAAAAGTGAATATAAACACACATGCTTTGCATGTTTGACTTCTTGGTAGACAGTAATCCTGGTATAATAAAGGATATATATGTACACACACCTTGATTGCAAAAGTGTAAGTAGAGGGTATTATTCTCCATTCTCAAGGTTCAAGGAAGCGTCGTAATGTTGTACCACATGACTCTAGTAAACTGCTTAACCAGCTTCGGGAAGAAGAAGCATTAAAGGAAAAAGAATCTCGAAGGCAGCAGATGTTGGAACGTAAACTTGCACAGGAGACATATATGCAAGAATTACAAAATTGGGTGGACACCCTTGTGGCAGAACCAATTAGGACAATTATAAATACCAGTTGGGAAGTAAGAAACAAGACGCCATAAAGTTGGCACATTTCTTGATTCAGTTAATTAATTTTATTTATTTTATTAATATTATTATTATTATTATTATTTTGGACTGGAAATTTAAGAAATGGATATCATTCTTGGTCTTCTTAGTTTTAATGCTGAAACTTTTGACAGAACACAATTACTCCTTGTATCAAGGTCACAATGCAGATATCAAATGGAATCATTTCATTTTGTTTTAGATCCCTCAGATAGGCCTCTTCCTGTTTTTGTGCCAAGAAGTTTTGAACATAGGTGAAATTATGCAGTATGAGCTTGAGAGGAGTTTTGCCATGGCCAAGGAAAGCACTGTAATGCAGACTGTTATGACCTCCTTGCTAAGTACACCATATCAGAGGACCAGGTAGGGTGAAATTGTTAATATTCACTCTATATGCTCTCCAAAGATGGTTTGTATTTGAAGACTGAAGAATGTAACAAACCCCAAGTGAAGCAGTGTATTTCTTTAGAAGCAACATGTCTTTTAGTTTCATGTCTGTTACAGATAGCTACTAGTGGAGTAAAGTCTAAACATAGACATGGAAACTGCTGTCCCTACATCAGCATTTGAATTTATGTTTGTTTAACTGCAGACTTGACAAGAAACCTCTTATGCCTTACAAAGTGTGGGAGGAGAAGCTCAGAGTGAAGTTGAGGCAGTGGTATAAAGTGCTGAAAGATTGTGGAAAGGATATACCAATGGTAAGTTATGACCAGTGAAGACCAGTGGAACTTCCCTCAGAATATATTAAGGTTGCATTACTTAAAACAGTAGACTATAGAAAAATAGAAAAATAAAATGCTCAAAATGAGCGACCACACCACTACAGATTTATTGGAAGTCTGAGCACAATATTCTTATGGCAATGTTAAACTCATTATAGCTTACAAATAGTGAGTGTCACTATAATTCTAATAGTCCTTTGAAATTTAGATGATACAGTTTATATCAAAGTTAGGAGCTTTTCACTTAATAGAAAATGTTTTTAACCCTTTTTAGGCTGCTGACAAAATTGGAATAGAAGAGATGTTTTTCAAAGTTGTGGGTAAGTTATTTATTTATTATGCATTTATTTATTATCCTTCTTTTTAATTTTCACTTGAAAAGTGAATATTTTTAATGCAGTTTTCTTGATTTTATTTCTTTCAAAGAATATTCCATTTCATTGTGGCTCAATTTCAATTCTAGTGTGCTAGACACAGGTGGACTATACACATATAACAATTAGTTTATTTACTCTTGCTTATTAGGTACCAAAAACCCACTGGAGAAGAAAAAATTCCATGAGCTTTCTTTCTATCAGAAAGTTTGGATAACGAAAGGACTATGTGACTATTGTGTGGTGAGATAAAACATATTTTAGAAATTGCTTGATTTATTATTATTATTGAAGTCAATCGCAAGGAAGGTGCAGTGCAGTTGTGTTATAGTTGTGTGTTGATGTTATAAGAACTAGACATTGAAAAATGTAGTGCTAATTTTATAACTAAATATTATGGAATTTCTTTTAATGTTAGGGCCATTGAGATTTCATTCTGACAAACAGTTTCATAGTCGTCCAAGTTTATTGAAGGAAAAACACATGCGACTCTGCTTGTTGGGACTCATTTTTATCACACTGTACAAGTTACAACAATTTACATAATATCTCACTGTGTGATGCGTCTCACAATTAGTTCCATTCATACATATTAATAGTATTCACCCTTTAGCTCATGTGTTTCCCTGGAATTAAAGCATGAAAAATTTTTTTCTTCTACCACAGTCTAACCAGGAGTCAGTGCGTGATGCAATGGATGCCCAGGAAGTGGAGGAAACCAGGGAGTACTTGCTGGGTTATGACGAGGACGGCAACAGTTACATGCACTTCCCTCAGTTCTGTGGTGCTGATGTGCGCATCTTTAAGCAAACTCCTCTTCCATGGCCAACTTTAAAAGTGGAAAAACCAAAACCTTCTCCCAGCAAGGTATGAAGTTAATAAAATGAAATCAATAAAAGCAGGTCATTGAATTATTTGTTAACTTGTCAGTAGTTTAGATGTTATCAAGGTACTTTGAACTGACCACCAATCCGTTTCTTTAAATGATTGTTTAACATCTTAATATGTGCCAGCCTTGCCATATGATTAAATTCAGGTTCTGTGGTAGCAAAACCCATTTCCATCTTGTCTATGTCAGCCCCTGTGTGTGATCTAGATTTTTTCTTTGCAACCAGTGATATGTAAATTTCATTTTTAAGTCTTATGTAGCTAATCAGCAACAAAAATATGCCCCTTTTGCCTATTATAGTATAAAATTGGGTATATCTGTTCATAAAATGCTAATAGTAATAGGAAGAAAAACTAATTTTGTTTTATTTTCCCTTGAAGGATACATATATATATATATATATATATATATATATATATACATCCAATATTCCATTATTTGCATTTTTTCTTAATAAAGGCACAGCCAAAGAAAGCAAGAACTCCGAAGAAAAAGAAAAAAGGGAAGTCTGCACCTCCAGCCAGAAGACCTTCTAGACTGAGACAGGTGAGGCTGATGGCTGATATTGAATTGTAATTGAATCCAGGGGGCTTTTTATCCCCACACTTTTGTAGGAAAAGTCTGGGATTGTGCTATCCTGCCCATCTGTGTGTTAGTAATATCCACTATCTCCAACTAAACCATTAGAGGGAGGAAGTTGAAACTTGGGAATCGATAGACCTATCATCAGAAATGTGCATGGGCACTTTGGAATTTTAAGGCATCCTGGGGTTTGGCTGTCCCAGGGAATGGGTGATTCTTAATTCTTTTCATATTGTTATTTCTGTGATCTCTTCAAAGATACTAGAGTGGAGAAGTTGAAACTTACAGGATTGATATGGGCACTTTGGAATTTTAATGTGCGCCCGGGGGGGGGGGGGGGGGGGGACCCAGGCATTGTTATAGATATTTAGGGAATGGGGTCCCTCAGGGTGAGCTACTCTTTACAATGTCAGGAAGTGACATTACCCATTAGCATCATATAGAACTGTAAATGTATCAGAGAATGCACAATTTTGTTTTTGTCGTGAGCCCTTACAGCATTTTCAAGTGTGATGAAAAGATTGCAGGCTTTTTTTTAGACAATGAAGGAATCCAAACAGTTTTATCAATAGGTAGTTTGCTACAGAAATTTGCAGCAACGGTCATGTTAAAACATTTTGCAGATTAGTAATGTTCATGACCGACATTGTGTACAGTGAATGTTTGCTCTCTTTTCAGTGCAAGAAATAGATGTATTTATTTGTATTTATCTTTCTACGTAGTGTATGTATATATCTAATTTTAATCTTTCAGACTATCAAGTATGTTTTGCAACCACAGTCCTCTGATGCTAGTGACGGCGATGAGGACAGTGGGCATGATTCCGACATGCAGTCAGACTCGGAGACAACTGAAACTACGCAATACCAAGAGAGTGTGGACCAAGACAGTGTCACAGACAGTATGGATTGGGAGCCTCGGGCACTGAGAAGCAACCAACGACTGAATACACCACAGAAAGAAATTGCACCAAGAGAGCAAAAAGACATGAATGGTGAGGTTGCTGCTACACAAGAAATCAGTGAAGATATGAAAACCACTATCGTTCCAAACAGTAAAAGGACTGCTGTGAAAGGACCGAAAAAAGCTAAAAAAAGCCATTGGAGTAATAGGAAACAGAGACACCAGGCACCTCGTGGCAAGCGTAGGAAAAAGCTAGAGGGTGGTGGAGATGAAGGAGAACATTCAAATGAAAGCAAAAACGATGAAGGAAAGGACAACAGCAATGATATGGACTCCATTAATATAGATCCTAGTAAAAACAGTCCTGAATCCTGTAATTCTGCTGGTGCCAGAAAGCTTTCTGGAGAGGTGGATGTCAGTGCATCAGGTGATGGGAAGAATAATCCTGAATCCTGTAATTCTGCTGATGCAAGGGTGCTTCCTGGAGAGCTGGTTGTTAGTGCATCAGGTGATAACATTCCTCCTGTTCTAGACACTCAGAGTGATACCTTGGAGGTACCTGGTAGCCAGGTACAGACTGATTTTAAGGAGAAATTCTGTGATGAATTAATGGATGTAGATGGAAACATGGACCCTGACAACAGTTCTATGGAAAACAAAGATTCAGATGATGTTTCTACACATGCTCAAACAGGCCTATCAGAAAACCAGACCGATTCAGAAAGGAATTCAGATGGAAGTAAATGGAAACTAGGGAGAGACCTTGTGGAAAATGGTAAATGTGTGGAAGACTCGAACCAGGCAACAGAGCCAAACAGTGTTTCTGCTGAATCTTCCAGAATGGATTGTGATATAGCAGAGGGTGGCAAAGTTGCTGGGGGAACCTCTGAAAAGGAGACTGGTGAGACAGAAGGGAAGGATGCCGCAGTTGACACCTCTGCAGTGGAATGTGATGAAGCAGAAAAGAATGGGACATCAGATGCAACAGATGGAAACAAGGCTTTGGTTGAGATGGAAGTTGAAGAAAGTGATGAAGAAGATGGAATAGAAATTGAGGTTTGTCTTCATTTTAATTTGTCCCTATAAAATTATGATTATTGATGATCCTTTAATTACTTTAAATGGCAAAGATCTAGATAACATATATGAAAAAAAAATTAATCCAGGTGCACATTTTCTACCAACTCACTTTCATCGTTCATCTTTAAATCTTTCAGGGGATTAAAGTGTCAAATAAATAGATACACTGCCACATAAATTAAACACTCATTGTTTGCATATCTCTGCAGGCCCCAGATCCTGAGCAGTTCATAATGGTTGTATCCAGTGTGGAGGAGTTGAGAGCACTCTGTGCTCAGTTTGCAGAAATAGAGCCTTTTGTAGAAGGATCTGGGAAAAGACAAAAGGTAGTGCATTTGTCGATTTAGAGGGTGGTGTTTTAATTATCACAGACAAGAAAATATAGTAGTTTTTATCTTTTGTTATTCATGGCATAAATATATGGGTGATTACCTACAGATACTTTATTTTAGCAACTTAAGATGTGTATTAAATAAAAATCATGATAAATCTTACAGTCACCAACTTGACTTACTGCAGACTGATATTGATTTTGTTGAATAAGGAGCAATGTTCACCAAAAAGAAAAATGTATGCCTACTTATCACCAGAGGCTTATTTTATGGGATTCCTTTCCAGATTATTAAGCCACCACCAAGGAAACGTTGTGTAGCAGAACTACATGAAAGACTGACATACTTACTGTCAGAACTAGAGCCATGGGAAGCTAAGCTCATCCAAGCTAACAAGAAAGCTAAGACCAAATTGAGAAAGGAGCAAGAAGAATATGAAGATGAGCCTACAACAGAGGTAAAAATTAATGCTATTGCTATGGTACTTCTGTGATATAGATAGTCTTATTGTAATTTAATAGACAGATGGTTTCTCTCACCAATATATGAACCTGCAGTATACACGTTCTCAACATATATTATTGACAGTCTGGAAAATTTTTAAAAATCTACAATATTCATATTATCTCTGTATTAAATCAAAGCTTTGCCATGGTGTTTTTTCCCAATTACCCCTTCTGACAAAGTTATGCTTAAGGGGTTGGGGAGGAGGGTAATCACATTCAATGATAGTGTAAGTTTTTTAAAGTTTTTTTTTCTTAAGTAATTTATAGCATTTTGGACAAAAAATATCTATATAACTCTGGATAACAAAAATAGTGCAAGATAAATGCTATCAAGATTTGCTTTGGGAAAGTTTCAGATTTACCTATGAGATTTTCTTGTTTTAGATGGAGGATGTGTGGGATAGTGATGAACCTGTGTCAGAATCTTCTGAAGGTGAAGATTCTGATGATCATGAGGAAGATGCAGATGAGACCAATTCCGTGTCCAGTCGCTGCACCCCTACACAGTCCAAAGATAAAAGAAAGACCCCAGCTGGAGAAAAAGTTACTGATGAAGATCTTTATGATGTAAGCTCTAGAGGACGTGTGAGAAAACGACGCCTAATTCCTAATAACACAGAAGACCAAGGGGTGAAGAAGGCAAAAACTGCTGTATCTGCCTTGCAGCAGCATCTCATGTCTAAGCTAACTAAGTCACCAGCTGAATCTGACTCAAAGCCAGTTAGTTTGCTTCAGAATCAGTCCCTACTGAAGTATTTGATCAGTACTCCGCCAGGGTCATCACTGAATCAACCAATGGGAGCTGGCTTCTTTGCCAGGACCTCGACAGGACAGGAGGTATTTTTCACTCTTACATCAAATGCTTCAGGCTTACAAGCCACCCCAACTCACTTGATTAATGCTCTGGTGAATAATGCCAAGCCGAAAACATCGGCTCCCTCAACAACAACACCAACGACCACCCAGACCTTCACCCCATATCAGTTTTCACTGAAATCTCCACCCAAAACTGCAACAGCCTCACCAGCTACAACAACTGTCAACTGGAGGCTGCCACGGATACAGTCTGTTAAACAGCAAACTGGATCCAGCTTAATCACTATGGGAACAAACCTTACAATGACACAGGCTAGTACTAGTGTGGCTAGCCTTTTGTCTTCCTCACCACCGACTACTACCAGTGAGCAAGGCAAGGTGTCCTTCTATCAGCATAACCAGATAGGAAGTCTGCCTCCACACATGATCCAGTCTTTGCTTAAAAACCAGGCAACAAAATTACAGCCTTCATCTGTCGGTAGTGTTCAAGGACAAGTGCTTCCAGTCGGAGTGAAATTGGTTACTGCAACTGCCCCAACATCAGAGGCAGTTACTGGCATTGCTCTCCATGCAACCAATGTCTCAGTAGCCACTGCAGCAAACCAGCCACGTTTAACCAGCTCTGCACAGCACATTCCAACACAGTCTGCTACCACTTCTCCAGTACTACCAGTACAAAGTCAGGCTGGAGTTAATACAGGGCTGCTGAAACTTGTCTCCACTCCACCTAAACAGAAATATGCAGGTAATGTGACTGTGAAAGCTTTGCTGGAGAACAGAGCCCACCAGAAGGGAACGGAATATGTGGTGGTTCCTCCAGTGCCTCGAAGTTCACAGGAGTTGCTGTCTAGCGAAAGCAAAAGTCCAGCCAAAAAAACAGTTGTTGATCCTGCTGCCCAAGCTCAACTTGCAGCCAAACTTGCTGAGCTCTCTAAGTCAGTTTTTATTGAGTCTGCTGTCAAGGCAGTTACTACAACAGTGAATACCACACTCCCAACAGTCCAAATGAATGTGCCTTCCCCTCTTACTATGCCCACAATCCAGCCAAGGAGAAGTGTCACCCAAGTCACCCAGGCCACCAAATCTCCCATTTTAGCTTCTAATATGCAATCCAGTAACAAAACAACTCCAGTCAAAACCACACAGAGTGAGCCTCAGCAGACCTCTCTGCCGTTGACTGTTGTAAGCGGGGCACCAGCAACAAAGACACCTGCTGTGCCACGTCAAGTCCAAGTTCCTCAAGCTGCTGCCCAGAAAAGTGTCTTGGTGAAGATGGTTCCTCAAAGTGTCACTGGTGCTACCACCCCTCCCCAAGGCCCCATGCAAGCTATCCTTACACCACAGGGTATTCTTATTCCCCATCAAGCCTTGCAGCAGAATGTGCCCATACAGAATATCGTTGCCAAGCTAAACCAGCTACAGAAGCAGGGAGTGCTGCCTAATGTAGCACTCCAGACAGTTGGGATATCACCACAGCAGCAACAAGGCAAACCAGCCCAGGTCCCAGTGCAGACACTGGTTGGCCAAGGAGCAACTGGTGTGGTTGTTAAGCAGGAATCAGTTCCTCTTACTCCTGGGACCAGAGAAAGGGTGGCGGTTGCCCTGAAGCCCACTACTGCAGTGAGGAGTCAGAAACCACCAGTTTCTAAGGTGAAGTAAAAACACTATGTTATTATTAACCTCATATGTACTATATTATTATGGACTTCAAATGCTTGCACCAGATATTAATTGGAATAGGGCAAATGTTGGTTTATTAAATTATTTTTTAAATGATTTAATGTTGTCCATAATACAGTATTTTATTATGACCAAAGAAATCAACTTAACAAGTGTAAGACTTCATATGGTATTTTGATCATCAGCTATAAGTAAATTGATTTTTGATTTTGAAGCTTACTATATATGAAGTTTGTAATCATGTCTTGTATTATTATTATTATTATTATTATTATTATTATTATTATTCTATTTTTTCTTAAAATCATTTTCAGTTGGTGACAGGCCCTGTCACACACTCCAAGGCTTCCAGTAAACCACTGCTAGTGTCTTGCAGCCCCAACATCGGCAACCCCAGTGTGTTTACAGTGCAGCCTGGCACCTCAGTGGCTGGGCAGGCTGCCGCTTTTACTGCTACAGTGTCCAGGGCAGCACCTGCGGCTTCTACTAGTGTGAAATCTCCAGCAAAAAACCTTGGGTTGCCACCAGCACAGCAACAACAGAAATTAGTATTGTTCAATGTGGGTGGACAACTAGTCACAGCACAGGGTGTGCCAGTCACAGTGTCTGATGCTCAGTTGCAGTTGATGTCCCAGTCCCCAAAGATTTCTTTGGCTAACATTCAGGGACTTGGAACTGGCTTGATAGTACAAAAGAAAACACCTACAAAAGTCGGAGGTCAAGTTCAAAATCTCCAACAATTAGGAGTGCTGCAACAGGCCATCAGATTGCAAACTGCTGTGCAGAGACCTAATACGTCCACCATTCCAATCATCACACGTGGTCAAAGTGCTCAAAGTGCTCCAAGTGGTCAAAAGGTCATTAGTGTGTTGCCAGATCATAGGTCAACAGACCACACAGGCAGTCAAGGGAAGAAGGTTAACAGTATTGGTACCTCACACCATAGTATTACAACACCAGTGGGCAGTGGAACCTCAGTGTATATAGCCAAGCCAGCACAGGGTGTGAACACTTTACATCTGCCAGCTGGGTCTGCATCATCTCAACTTGTCCAAGCTGCTGCCTGTGCTGGACTGTATGGGAATCCACCTATTGCTAGCCCAAAGCACATACTGGGCAATGTTAACATACCCCTTCAGCAACAATCCGTGTCCAATACTGCTGACTATAAACCCTCTTATGTTCCTGTTCCCACCATCACAAGTGCTGTGTGTAAGGTTGAAGGGAATATTGTAGTGACATCGTGTGGGGTGAAGCAGGAGAAAGGAAATGCCAGTAAGACTTTATTTTCTACTGGGACTTTAACTCCCCAGCAACAGCCTGCACTGGCTGCAGCTTTAACAAGTGCTCCGAGATCAATAACACCTACAAAAGGAGGTTTATTACATGCCACTACTCAGCCTACTGAGATTAAACTGCTCCCCCACGGTGTCTCAGAGCAGGATGATAAAAGTAATGTCCCTCACAGTGGCAGTCACACCGATGCAAAGCCACTGCAACAGAATGCCCCACTTGTAACTGTTACAACTGTAATCTCAAGTAGTAGCGTAGAGCCAGGTGTGAGGACAACACTGTCAACTGACACGGAGACTGTAGTGAAGCAAGAGAACACACTGCCAGGTGTAGTGACAAGAATCCCACAAGATGTCACAGAGTTGGCTGGACAAGCGACAGCACAATCACTAGACAGCTCTGGGGATTATGATATGGATATCAGCGAAAAAAAACTTTTCATTGTCACTGAAGTTCCACTTGAACATCCCAAACAGACAGATCATGTGAGCAATGGGAAAATGAATGGGGAAACCAAACCATCACTTAGTCAGCTTTAGAGTTAGTACATAGAACAAGTGGTGTTGATAATTTATTAAATATATGAATACTGATGACCAAAAGAAATTGATTGACTTGATTTTTGAGAGACCAGTGAAACATGAAATATTTAGTGTGAAACAGTGCTTATAATCTAAGCAGGAGACACTTCTTGATTTCATCAACCAAAACTATATTCAAGAAATACACTTTTTTATTCATAGCCAGTAAAAGCGCTAGGAGTTTGTTTTTTTTTAATCTACAGACATTTTATAAGTTGCAAGACATCAAATTTACCCAAGTTGAGTTGAAGCAATCAAGTGCATAACAATGTAAGCATGCTGATTATACTGTGATGGAATTAAAAGGAATTCAATAACATGTTTGTATATACATAAAAAAATATCTTTCTACATTTTCTTTTCATTGTTCAAAGAATGATTTAAATCTTGGTCACGTAGGAAATACATTTACAAAACACGGTACAATCTTAAACTGCTTCCTCTGTCACCGTTCCTCTTTGTTTGAAAGTTTCCTTTTTGTGATAAAGAACCAGCTGAAGTTTCTTCCAAAATATATCGATTTTTCTTTGTCCTTCATCGTTGGGCCATTTAAGATGAGTTACGTGTTTCTTGAGACGTCGCAAGTTTTTTGGTAAATCTTTATCTGGAATATGCTCAAGGTAAATAAGAATGACGACGTTTTTGCGCTCATCCAACATCTTGCTTATTGCCGTGTTTAGTTCGAAGTTACACCACTCGCTTTTGACGAAATTCCTTGTTATTACAAACAAACAACATTTGCTTTTTTCCATACCTTGTATAAGGTTATCAATTATGAAATTTCCTGGAATCAAGTCTCTATTGTCGAGACACAGTTGGAAACGTGCTTCACTTTCTTCTAAATTCCTCACCAGCGTGCCAACCACCCAATCCTCATCTTTGCTGCTGTACGAAACGAAAGCATCAAATTCTCCGTCTATGGGTATGTAGCCTTGTGTTTTTTTAGGCCTTACTTTAAACTGCCACCAAAAACGAATGTCCCAACGATAAAATGTTATAACGGCAGTAAAAATCAGCAAAACTAATGTCCCCAAAGCGTAGAGCAGTACTTGCAATCCAATTTTACACTCGAGGAAACCGGGCGAGTAGTCCCCAACTTTCACTGCAGACAGCTTGCTTGGTGAGAAACAAGGCTGGTCTTCCCCAGATATTTGAATTGATGTGTGTTTTAACCAACCTACAAATCTTACAAGATGGCAGTCACATGAAAATCTATTATTATTAAAAAGAAACGTGGCCAGCTTAGGAATATACTTATAGAAAATGTCGCCATCAATTTCCACAAGTTTGTTATCGGATAAATCCAGTGTTCGCAGGTTTTGTAAAGGCTTAAAAGTTCCAGGTGTCACTTTGGTCAAGCCGGTATACGTCATATTCAAAACTTTCAAATTAATCAAAGGATTGAATAGAGTTTCTAGGTCCACTCCTTCGAGCTCTTTGCCTGCTAAATTTAGGCTTTCTAGAGACACCATGCCAGTAAAGAAATTGTTCCCATCGGGCCTTGTTAGAGAAATTGTGTTGTCACAAAAATGTAATATTTTAAGCCTTGTTAAATTTCTAATATCCACTGTAACTGATTCTGGAAATCTAGTCTTACACATGTTAAGTTCCTCCAGTGAAGTAATACCAGTGAAAGATACGCGAGTCCCATTCTGCATTAGAAATCTAGTCCCTGTCAGTGTCAGGATCTTTAAATGCTCGTGCTTTAAATCCTGTCCCCACTTAGCACCCATCAGAACATTTCCAAACTTCACTTCTAACTGTTTCAGCCATGTTGCTGTTAATAAATAGTATGGTAAAACAACTGGTGACCAATTATTTAGTGATACATTAACGAAATGTAATTTGTTTTGTGTTGGGAATGCACCGGCTGTTAAGAGGTTATTGCCGTTTAGGGTTAGATTCCTTAAGGAAGGTAATGCGGAAACAACGGTTCTCAGATCGGCAGCCAGTCCAAAATCACCGTTTGCAACCTCCAGTGTCTCCAGTGAAGAGTGTCTCAGATGTAGAATGTAACTGTCAAGCATTTCGTACCGCTCGCTTGCCTTCAAGCATTGGCTAATACGCAACTGACGGAGGGTTTTGTTTCCTAAACTATAAAAGAGATTACTCATGGCCTGGGGGCCAATCGCCACATCCACCAAGTCAAAAGATTCGAAGTTAGTTATAAACTTGAAGGTTTCATTACTGAATTCTACGACATACAAACTTTGGTGGAAGCGCAAACGAAGGAAGTCAACATCTGAAAAAGTCCTAAGAGCATTCGGTCCAAAATATCGGATCGGGTTTCTACTGAGATTAATAGTGAAGTGTGTGGCCGTTTTAATCTGCCGACTATGTTTTTCGTCTTCCACGCTGTCAACCATGCACCCAGTAAGATCCATATATTTCAAATAATTTGACTGAACCAACTGGTAAGGGATGCGGTATATTCTTCCACTGTAGAGCAACTGCACTTCCTCTAGAAAGGGCAGTTTTGGAACATCCTGGTGAATGCTTGTGTTACAAAGGTAAAAGTATATGTATCGAAGCGAATCTTCCGAACCTCTGAAAGACTCCGGCGTTATCCTGATGCCATGAGGAATGTACGGCCTGCAATATATAAGAACACGCTTTGTCCCAGCAGGAAGAGTGGGCACAGTCTCATTGTAAAGAGCTGGATTGAAACTGGGACATTTCACCTGTGAGTTTTGACAATTACAGTGTTTTGGACAATGATCGCCGTATGCACTGGCAACGCAAACAACAGTGGCAGCAACACAATACACGGTAGCAAGCTTCGCGAAATGCATAATGTAGTCCTTCAGTTTTTCTTTTCTCGCGGCAGCTCCAAACCTTGGTGAAATGTCAATGATAAAAATTTCTCCTCTGCTTTTAAATGGTTATTGAGGAAGTGAACTGACCGACTGACTTATGCTTCGTTTCGATTTCCATTTTGAGGGACGCGTGGTCATCACGAAATGGTGAGTAACAACAGCCATAATTATATATAACAAACAAGAAGCTACCTAAAAGATAAGTGTCTTCATGAATCATAGCTAAATTTAGCACGTCATTACAGCGTTATTTAATTTTCCTTTGGGATAGAGTGTGTACCACTAAAAATAACGCCGATATTTGTATTCCTTCCCAATGACTATATGTATGTATAAACTGTTGCACTCCCGTTCCATACATTAACCGCAAATGTCAAAATATCTATAACACACTTGTAATTCTAAAGTTCGAGTAATATCTAGCTCGCAACGCACTTGAAGACTTGTCATTAAAAACGAAAAAAGAAAGGAATCGAAAGCGACATGCTTCCTGATTTAAAGTCATTATCCGAATGAACCTATCTCCGCCTTTGTAGAATCACGTCATCGCAGGCAGTGAAGCATAAGAAATATAATACTACCATTAGTTTAAGTCTTCAACATATGGATTATCAACTTTTTTTTTTTTTTTTTTTTTTTGGGGGGGGGGGTCTCAATTTTCTATTTCTGTAATATGAAACGGATATATTTTTCTTCCTTATGATACTATCCTATGGCAGGTGAGCCATATTACCAAAACCAGCTGTCACTAGAGAATTTTTCTATAGCAGGATGAGAAATTATAGTTTCACATAATACCAATATGGCTGGAGGAAACGATGTTTAGGCCCACTTTAACCACAAGGACTATCACAAAACGTAAAGAGATCTTTTTTTTTTTGCATCAAAGATAAGATGCCTTGCTTTCTAAAATGCTGAATACAATTGCTTTTCTTGCTTTCTTTGCTGCATACCTTTTGGTTTCTGTGAAAGAGCCAGTTCTTGAAAAAAAATCTGCTAAATGCTTGAAAAAAATGCTTAAAAACCATCATTATTTTCGATTTTCAACATCAATTGCTACTTACTTCTAAATCTGACGTTAGGTTGAAAAGCAAATAAGTTCAAATTGCAAATTTTCTTTTGAGTCCTCAAGGAGAACAGTATCATCTGCATACAGTATAATCATTATTTTCATAAATGTTTGTAGCTCAGATTCGAGGTCATCCGATTCATTTGATAAGCCTGTAACATCTCTTTGCATTAAAAAATTTCAAAGTCACTTTAACTGCTGAAAATATAAAAAGGGGAAAAGTTTTTACCTTGTCCACTTCTTATTCTGCGCGGGAAGTATTCCGATAATTAACCATTTAGTAAAAATTTAGATATGCAGTCATTATACATATTTGCAATTATGACGGTCAGACATTTTCTATTTCCATAATAATTCATTAGTCTCTACCATAGAGCCCCCTTCTCCGTATTTTATCGGAGCTATTATCTAATGTGTTTTTATAGCATTTTTCTGCTTTTCTAAGTTTACTTTTGAAAATATTTGAACCATACTTTCATGAGTAATCTTTTTGCTCTTCTGCATTGTTTTTCAGCCTCTAAGCATTATTGTCAAACAAATCTTTCTTTTTATTGTTGGGGGTACCAGCAGGATATGAGAGCGCGCTTGAAATGATTTTTCTAATTTAATTACATAAATTACATAAATTGGGGCAACTGAACAATTCAAACCACTTCTACCTTTGTGCAGTTATTTCGTAATACAAATACAATCAAATGTTAGCACATGATGCAACTATATTCACTTTCAATATAATAAGATACCATAAAGCAACTTAAACTAACCTGCATTCAATGAAGAGTTCCTAATAAAGTGAATACATGCAGCTTTAAAAAGATCTAGAAAGTATTAATTTGTTCAACGCTATATTTTCATTCAGTTAATTGCAAATCTGCGCACAAAAACTGTTAATGCCATACACTGCTATATATACTTGTACATCATGCCAGAAGTTCAACCAAGGTTTCATACGGTTGAAAAGATTTTAGTGAAGTTGTATCCCGGAGAAACATCAATGTGGTTTAACTGCTCATTTTATCTAGGAAGTTCAAGTAGTTGGTAGTTCTAATAATAGTTGTGTACAGGTATTCCTTCTCAGTCCCTTTATTTACATTTAAATTCCTTTTTACTACTTAGTTACCTCATCGTAACATCTTGAAGACATTGGTCGTCTTGAAAATCTACTGATTCGTTTATTGATTTTTATATGTATTGGGAATTTTATCCTTCATGTGCGGACACATTCATAAAATACAGCGATCTGTAGGAGTTTTTTGGCATACCCCGTTCACGTTCACCCCGCCCCGACTCGAACAGTGTGGACGGGGCATTAGCCAGTCTCTAATTAGATATGTAAATCAAATTTAAAACCGAAAATTATTAAACAATAAAAAATTTTATGGGTCATTGGTAACAGGTTGTCTGCTTAGCGGTTTGAATGCAGATAATTTGAAGATATCTCTTATCTCATTGTGACAGCATGATAGCGCATGGATGAGATTGCAATTTCAAATAAATAAATGTATATAGCTAGGCTACTAGTAGCACAGACACAAAAATTGCAAACGTGGCGCGACGTTCTTGTAGATTTTATGTTTCGTGGTTTTTATGCTTAGTGGTTTGAATGCAGATATTTTGAAGATAGCTCTTATCTCATTTGATAGCATGATAGTGCACGGATGAGACTGCAATTTCAAATAAATATATACATGTGGATACTAGTAGCACAAACACAAAAGTTGCAAACATGTTGCGCGACGTTCTTTTAGATATTATGTTTGGCTGTAGTCACTCAGCGCTTCTCATTGGTTCAACAGTGATTGCCTTGGCAACAATCCTTTTTATAAAAAGCAATGCCAGGAGAAAAAGAGTGAGAAGCAATCGATGCAAAGTGGCGAAGCAGTGCGTCAAATATAAGAAAACTATATCGACAGTAGCTGAAAGAATAACGGAGAAAAAAGTAGGTATATATTTCAATTCTTGATTTTTTTCATCAATTATTTGTTGATAAAGTGAGATACACAATTTAATTATGAAGATATAAAATAGAAACAGAACATAACATATTTTTTTAATTCTAATAAAGCAATATAACAAAAATAATTCATCAGATAATTAAAATGCAATGAATAAGTACGTTATGTAGCTAGGTTTCACTCCAATTATTTGACTTCATTTTTATTTTAAGAGTCTTTTGATCTGGCACATGATCTATATTTAATTTTTTTTATTTTCATAGTTTTCCCCAGAGCAGGTAGATTCGATTACTGAGTTATCATTATCAGAGCTTGTCGCCAGTTTGAAGAACGGTCGCCTAAAAGCAGTGGACGTGTTAAATGCATATCAATCAAAGGTGTGTGATAGAGTATGATATTATCTTATTTGACATAATTCGGAATCGTTTTACGCTCCTATTGTCAGGGAGCCTTATGTTGTGTCAGGTACCCCTTACATGTTTGTAATGTATTTTTGAATACTTCCGTATTGGTACAGACATGGTCTTATTTGCTGTGTTTTATTGCCTTTTGATTTTTGAAGCCAGTTGAATTAGACACTTCCTAGAAGGATGTGGAGATGGTAAGGTGACCTCTAATATATTAAAGCAATGTTGAGTTACCGTTAATTTGAATAAATAATGTCACTGTAGTGCCAGTATAAAGCTATGTTCGTGACTGCGCTTTTGAGAAAAGAACTGTGTTTTTTGGGGAGAAAATTACTTTTTTTTTTTTTTGGGGGGGGGGGGAGATCTGTGCTACAAGTCTTTGAGACACGACAATTGTGGTACATGCTGTGTGCCTAAATTTATTGTTATGTTATAATTAAAAACTTAACATGAGTTATTTTGTCTATATGTGTTTACTAGCGTATAGGTAGACACCAAACCTTGGACGTATTTAACTTCTATCTTCAACTTCTATCGTGATCGACTGGAGAAACCTGGTATTACGTAAAGTCGAAGCTGATCAGGATGATACCCGACCTTATGCAATCTCAGTTAGATCAGCCCATTGTATCATATACAACATTGGTCAAAAAGGTTGTCCCACCCCCATTTCCATGTACTTTTATTTACAAATGATCACCTCACAGCTGTAAATTGTTAGAAATAGTGCTTTTTATTACAGATACCGTGTCTAACACAATTAATGGTTTAAAAAAATACCAAATAGTGGTGAAAATATACACATTTTATACCATTTAGTAAAATTTATAAGAGGTACCCCCTCAAATCTACTGTTTCACTGTGACTTCTACAGATGTAAAGAAATGTCTATTAAATTGAAAAGACGCCTCAAATTTCACCAAATTCACAATATTAGCATTAGGGTGTGCTCGTTAACGATCACGTGCCTAACAGCGTGTGCGTCTACCGCATACTGCAATTATCTCCTGTAGACGGCGCGACAAGCCTTCAACACGGGTAACAATTCTGTTTTGTGGGAGAGAGGTGTGAGCAAGTGTGCAGTCATGATAAAGCCTGGAGTTGACCCCAAAGTCAGTTTTTGAAGATGGAATGAGATATCAGCTGAGAATGCTACGTTTAGTGATCTCACAGGCACCTGAACCTGGCCATCCATCACTGGAAGGAAGTCGGGCTTGATGCAGAATCAAATTATTTCTTGTATCCCATCGATGGTCATAGAGGGTCCATAGCCATTTTAAAAATGCCTCTTGGAAGGGTGTGTGTAGGATAATATCGCCTGAGGTGTTAGATAAGTCCACATTTGGAGAACATTCCAAGCCCATGGTATTAGTACATGTACATTGTTCCTTTTGGAACAAAACGTAACAGGGGCATTTTAATGTAACATTCTCAACAGAAATCTCACTCCATTTGCAAGAGGTGACTTCAGGGATGCTACTGGCTTCATTATGACAATGTACTTGCTCACAGCTCTCACCTGGCAAGCGATTTGTTGCAGAAACACAGGGCTCTGAGGATGGGACAACCGTCTTTGAACCCTGATATTAATCCTACTGAGCACCTGTGGCATGAATTAGAATGTGCATTGCAGAGGAGAACCAATTCCCAAATAATCTTGATCAATTCCGCCATGCTCTTTAGGATGAATGGGACAATATCCCACATAACAGAATTATTTTTCGTGTTGAAGGCTTGTTGCGCCGTCTACAGGAGATAATTGCAGTACGCGGTAGAAGCACACGCTGTTAGGCACGTGATCGTTAACGAGCACACCCTAATGCTAATTGTGTGTGAATTTGGTGACATTTGATGGCCTCTTTTCAATTTAATAGACATTTCTTTACATCTGTAGAAGTCACAGTGAAACAGTGGATTTGAGGGGGTACCTCTTAAAAATTTTACTGAATGGTATAAAATGTGTATATTTTCACCACTATTTTGTATTTTTTTAACCATTAATCATGTTAGACACGGTATCTGTGATAAAAAGCACTATTTCTAACAATTTACAGCTGTGAGGTGATCATTTGTAAATAAAAGTACATGGAAATGGGGGTGGGACAACCTTTTTGACCAATGTTGTATAATATTTACTATGACATTAACAGAATTAAACTACTTACAATTTGCATTATTAATTACCCCTTCTATTATAGGCAATAGAACAAAATGAGCAGTATAATTTCATCACAACATTTTTGGAAGAAGCTGAGGTATGCTAGTACATATTTATATCATTCAATTGGCATTTAAGGAGGATGTTACAAATGTGACAGAACAAGGAACTTCATGTAATTCCTTTGATAACAATTGGATTCAAAAGAGAAACCATGATTTGGTTTGTTAATTTAGTTTATTGCAATTTCCAATGCAACAATTTTAGATCTTCATCAGACCTAGATCTTATCAGTTTGTTAAAAAAAATTTAAGTCTTTCAGATTTAAATCAATGCCATGTTTTTGATAATATGTTTTTTCTTTCCATTTTATACAGGATGCAGCATTAGCCCTAGATGAATCTGACAAACCAAAAGGGATGTTACATGGAGTGCCTGTTTCTTTAAAAGATTTCTTTACTGTGAAGGTATATGTCTTACTTCACAGGGGCGGATCCAGGATTATTTGAAGGAGGGGGGGTTTGTGGATGCGAAGCCAACCCTCCCTCCCCCTTGACGTAGGGTGCGGTGCAGTTTTTTTAAGATTGAGAACTTTGATTTAGCTAGTCAAAACTCTAATTTCAAGAGGGAACCATTGGTGTGATTTTTTTCAGAAATAGGGGGTTTCAGGACCCCCCTGACACCCCCTTAATCTGCCACTTTGAATTATATTTAATATTATTTTGATATTAATATTAATTTAATTATATTATTAATTATAGAGATTTGAAAAGTGGTTTTACATATTTTGATTCAGTAAAATTTAATTTTCATGATAGTTTCACAGTGGCAGATTTAGGGGGGGGGGGGAGGGGATCCTGACACCCCCTTCGATTTCTGACTAGTTGAATTTTGACTAGCTGAATCTTAGTTCTAAACCGTGCCAAATGGCACTGTTTGCCCTCTAAAATAGAATATTTCGGGTACCTTCAGCAAGGGGGGGGGGGGGGGTCTGCTTTGCATCCGCAGTCCCCCCCTTCAAATAAACTTGGATCCGCCCCTGGATTCACTTCAGAAATGCTTTTCATGGCATTTGATTTGAAGAGGTTAATAAATATGATATCACTTAAAAGTTACTAAGAAGTAGATAGTTAAACTACAAACTGTTCTACCTTCTTGTATAAAATGTGCATTTTACCATATAATATTCTATAAATTTTATGTAGGGCTATGACACCACCCTTGGCATGGCCAGGTATGTTGACAGCCCATGGGCAGAAGATTGTGTGGTTGTCAAGGTACCATTTCTATACGGTGATGACTGTCAAAGATACTTATCTATGGGACTATTCCCACAGATATTTGGATCGATCTATCTCCCTGGGGAGTCTCACTAAATAGCTATCAAACTATAACCAGCGTAAACGTCTGTCACGCCTAGTAAAACTGTTAGTAGTAATTATCTTTACCCCTAGCTGATTCGGTAGGTGTGACAGACATTTAAGCCTCTTGAGCTGACAGCAATTTAGCGTGAACCCCCAGGGAGTTAGGTTGATCCAGCTGGATTGATCTAAGCATGGGAACCCAGTCTATACATGTTGCGGCTCATATCAGTTGGGTTGCACAATGTAGTATTAAGTCTGATAATTCCTGGCTTTTTTTGCAATTCATGCTTGGCTTTAACATTGTTAATTATAGAGCCTGTCAATCCTCAATCATTCTTACCTCATTGGGGAGCATATAATCCAACCAGTGCCACTTGGAATTATCATTTACAAAAACCAGCACTACCATATGACCAGGTCTTTACTCCCTGCTTTATCCTCTATAAGCTGGGTGCATAGTGAGGAGACAACAGGTACCATATGTATTATAATCTTTTGCATGACCCAGCCATTGGAGTCATACTCATGACCTAGCTCCTGCACTATAGGCAAGCATATATTTTTAAGGGACCTGCTTTATTATGTAAAATCAGATAAGTTTTGACACTGGGTGTCGGACGTAACTTTAAGGGACCATTCCCACAGATATTTGGATCAGTCTTGTTTGTGTTGATTTTAACATTTAAATATTTATGTACAGTATATTATGGTTTCTATAATCTCTTTTTGTAAAAACAGCAGTGAAACTTGCATAACCTTTTATTTGAAATTATTTTTGAATCTGGAATAGCAGTTAGAAAATAAGAAATGTTTCATTGAATGCTTGGTAAGCCCCCCCCCCTTCCCCCTCCCCTCCCAAGCAATTAAAAAAAAAAAACTGGTACAGCAACCAAGCTACTGGGCCTGCTTGTGTTCAGTAGCAACTGAGTGAAAAAGTTAATGTTGAGCCCTGGGATGTATTATTTACTGATAACAACGCGAACCAAAATAACCAAATCTCACTGATTTTATTTTTCTTTAAATGAAAAGCGTAATTAACTATGACTTAAATAGATACAAATATTATGTGAAATTCTAAAGGTTTTATTGCTTTGTTAAATTTTTATCTAATTATTTAATTAAATTTAATTTTACTAATTCCAGGTCCTCAAGTACCAGGGTGCAATTCCCTTTATGAAGACAAATATCCCCCAAACCAACTTACAGTAAGTGAAAACACATTTTGATGAAATTAGTACACTTTCCAAGTTTTAATTCAGTTCTCCAAGGTGTCATTAGTTAATCTATTTGTATCTATTTACATACGTTACAATCACTGCTATTCTATGGTACTGGCTATTTGGCTCATGTTATGTGTAGAAGTTAATCCTTATGGTTGTTTATTAGCTTTGACTGCTCAAATCCTATATTTGGACGAACTCTAAACCCTTGGTCAAAACAGCGGACTCCAGGCGGATCGTCAGGAGGTGAAGCAGCAGCCATTGCTGCTGGGAGCTCTATTGTTGGGATGGGAAGTGATATTGGTAATGAATCTTTACTAGGCTAGCTGGAATATCTGTAATACAAATCTGTTCAAAAACCTAGTACAGCTGCCTTATTAATAGTAAATACCAATATGATCACCATTCAAACAGAGTATAGTTTCATTTTTTTAAAAGAAACTCTATGTAGATGAAAAAAGATTTTCTGAATATTTAGCAATTTTTGATTAAGCAAAAATGACTGCATTTGACTACTGGTATATTGCTCGGGTGACAGTGTATTATCTCACACTTAAATATACAATTGCTATAAAAATTTCATATAATTTTCAGGTGGAAGCATCAGAATTCCAGCTCACTTCTGTGGAATATGTGGGATAAAGCCAACTGTGGGTAGAATAAGGTATTTTTGTAATAGAATCTGTCATAGAGTGTTATCTGAGCAGACATTTTGTTTTCACATTATGCTGTTAAAATGGTGTTTAATACAGATTTTGTTGGCTGCAAACAATTTTGTGTCAACCTTTATTCAACAATATATTTAACTTGCCACAGCGTTTATGTGATATACATTTTTGCACATGCTTTCATATTTTCAGTAAAAAGGGACTTCATATGTTCAAAGGAGAAAATTTGTGTATGTAAAAACATTTTGCTTACATAAAATTCAACATACAGTAATGACATTGAAAAAAAGCAGATCCATTGGGGTGGTGGTGGTGGTGGTGGTGGTGGTGGTGGTGGTGGGGGGGGGGGGGGGCAGTATGTGCATGTACTATCACAACCATACCCAAGTGCATCTAACACAACCAAGCACAATTATCACACTATGTGGAGCTGCATCTCCAACAATGGAGATTGATACATTTAACATAAAATCAGAATTGTTGAAACAAAATAAGATTTTTAAAATAAAAAGTGTTTTAAATGAATTAAATTTCACTAATATGTCAAGTTAACTAATGGAAATTTAGTTACAGCAATAATTCATACCTGTTTTTTGGTGTTAGAAATTGTCTACATCTTTCATATTTTGAAAAACAATTTAAATGTTCAAAATGGCTTTTGGTTAGCAGAGTGAAGTTTAACTTTTCACACTGGTTTCTTCCATGATTTATCGAATAAAGTGAGTTTAAACTTTTCACAGTGGCTGCATCCATGGGACCGATGGGCAGAGATGTGGATAGCGTGGCAACCATGATGAAAGCCTTGCTAGTACCCTATATGTTTGAACTGGATCCAATGACCCCACCATTAACTTTTAATACAGAGGTAATGACAGCTTATTGTATAAGTAAAGAGAGGTTTGATATGGAGTAATATTGAGTTTCGAGGGCTGCCAATGTGACAGCAAGATATTGGAAATGTTTTGGTTATATTTAGGACCAACTTCTGATAGGGTCTATATTTCAAGGTCCATATATATATATATATATATATATATATATTTATAGAGTAAATAAGTAGCCTGTTTTGGGAAATTTGGAGTTTCAAAGACTGAATAAATCTTAATCTGGCCAAGAAAAACCTCTTATTTTTACTTTCGAGATTAGGAATATGAAAGTAACCGTCCACTGAAGATAGGCTTCTACTTGGAGGATGACTGGTCAGTGCCAATCCCAGCATGCAACAGAGCTGTTGAATTGGCAGTTGCCACATTAAAGAGTCAGGGACATGAGGTTACAGAAAAAATAGTTCAAATTTTTTTTACATGAAAGCATTAGAGTTTGAAGGTTGGAGATGGCATTATCATTTTTAACTGTAAACTAAAACTTCTTTGTAGAATTAGGCATTTATTCTTAAGTTTGCCATAGAAATAATTTAATTATGTACATGTACTCAACATTCAGCAATTGTTTATTTCCATGTGGCAGGTGGTTCCATACAGTCCAACCAGAGCACAGGAGATGTACTTGGACTACTATATGAGATTTTGCATGGCTGATGGGGGTCAGGAACTTCTAAAATCTCTGTAGGAGCCCTTTCAGTTGAATAACAAACATATAGATAAATTTGTATCTAACCTCTACCACGTAGAGGGTACATGTAATAGATGCATGTCACTCCTCATACAGTATCCAGAAATTGAAGGAATTGGGGGGGGGGGGGGGGGATTGATTTGCCATTTAAAAAACCCTCTCATTTAGACACCCACTTCTCACTGGATCTGCCTGTATTGTTTAGTGTGTTACAAACAGTAAAAGACATATAATATGTCATATCAGAACATTTTGTCAGTTTGGTAATTAAATTATATTCAGTCTTAAAAATTTTTCTTAATTGTTGGCATTGTAAACATATCTGATTATTTCTGTTCAGAGAAGATGAACCTGTATTTGACCCTACCATTAAAGGCCAAGTTTCAGTGCTAAAGCTACCAAAAATCTTACGTACTACACTGGCAATACTACTGAAACCCATGGCAAGTGCTTATTACATTTCACTCACTTCATTTATACTAGTAAATTATTTGAAGTTAGTGTTTATCAATTTTGTGAATAGACAATAATGCCACTATTACTTTGTGAACTTAACTGTTTAAAACAAGTGCTTTAATTTTTACTCTAATTGTGTAAAATGCTTGAGAACAATCTTGCTATAAAGAGCTTTGCTGCCAACACTCCCCTTATTGGTCATTGTTTTACATTTAGTGGTTACATATATCACATCTCATTTTTCAGATGCCACTTCTGAGCAGAATGATTTTATGTCTAAATGGATTCAGGTATGGAATGTAAGGAGAGTGATATAGTGTCTGCTTACACATTTTTCTCTTCCATAATAGAAGGTAATATATTTGTTATTGAGGAAAACAGATACATTTGATGACATCAGTTATTCATTCCTTCATGATAGATAATGATATATTTATAAAAAAATGTTTATTTTTGCATAGGCATATTAAAAGGGAGGAGTATGTGCTCTTCCCTTCTTTTTTTTTAATCAAAATGTTATCCTGGCTCATGGAACAAACGCCATTGTGGTGTATATAGAACATACCCATATATATGTGTGTGTGTGTGTGTGTGTGTTTACTGGTATATTAATTACTTTGATCAATGAACACATACTTTTTGAAAATGATATGTTTGTCATTGCAGGTCGATCAAAGACATGAATGAGAAAAAATGTGACATCCAGGTAAAACAGGCCGTGAATTTTTCTGAAATTTAATCTGGTCCATGAATGATGAAATGCTCGCACATACACACACACACACACACACACACACACACATGCATGCGCAGAGAGAGAGGGAGAAAGAGAGACAGAGTTTTTGTTTTTGACAAAGTATAAATGAAATTGTTAAATATGGTTGGACATGTTTTCAACATTTTCTGCCTGCCAAAATCCCTCAGAGTGATTTGCATAAAATCTTACATAATGTGATAGTTTTGGGAATAGAACCTCATATTTACAATTCTCCAGAGACCTAAATAGTTGTTTGCTTCTTCATCAGATACACATATAGAAGTTCCTATAAATTTTTGCCTTTTAAGGCCAATCATTGACATAACCTTAAATTATTTTAACTTGGTTGTAGGAGTGGCAGTTGAAGATTCTGCAGGATTGGGAGAGGCTTGGTCTAGATGCTGTTGTATGCCCAGTTGCTCCTTGTGTGGCTGTACTGAATGGCTACCCAGCAAAGTGCCTCGGTATGGATGTAAAACCTTGGATGAATAAAACTTATTTGTCCAAGATGCAAACAAATATACTACTATTTGTGATTACTAGCATTACATCATATATAGCCACCATACTTTTTTAATGTCTTGTAAGGCAGTTTTTTTTTAATAACCTGTTTCTCAAGCTCCGCCGACATCAAAATGGCCAAAATAGAAAAAAAATAAAATTGAAATCAAAAATATTTTTATTTTTTTCCCCGACTTCCGACTGATCGTACTGTTCGATCACTGATCGTACTGTTCGATCGTAAACACGAAACTTAACAAGTTTCACGGGACTCCCGCGTCACATGACTGCCTACAAGTTCAAAACGAAGGGTATTTAAGCCAAAGTAAACGATTGGTTCATTTCCCCCAGCTTCCGGTTTTTAAGCCAATCAATGCTTCGCTGATATTTTACACTGCATTTGTCAAATTTTAAAATGCAACATGGCGGGAGACACATACTGGAGTAGCTTTCTCTACTTAAGCAGGAAATTGACCACTGTTGTGTGGCTCAGTGTTATAGTGAAGGAAGGACCAAAGATATTATGCAAAAAAGGTTTGTCCGGCCAGTGTTACAGACGTTTAAGGCCATTTTATTAACTGCTTTCTGTCAGAAATGAAAATATCAACTGCAACACTTGTCACGTGTGGAAGGTTTCAACAGGGAGCAAAAAAAGGTTCTGAACTGAATGTAAGAATGCCGGTCACTACGGTGATAGATATTGACATTAATTGCATTCAGATAACAGTTGGCAGTGAACATCAAAAGATGCAGGCTCAACTAAACTCTCCGAGAACATCCAAATACAGAGCGCATTGGGTTTTTAATGCAGCACTCGCGTAGGCCTACTTCTGAAAGTCTCCAGAAATGATGTGAGTATTTTTTTTTTCGTTTTATCAGTCTAGAGTGTCATAGTTTTTTAAGGTGAATGTATTTTAGGCATTGATATGTTGGTAAATAAATGTCCTTTTTTGCACTTTCACAAAAACGTATGTTAAATGCTAATTGCTCGCTCACAACAGCAGATGTTTCTATACTGAAGCAACGTGTCTTTGACATTTTTTTTATTAAATTAAGGCAGGTAATAGCTGTAAACTATCATGTGCTTTGGATAATGAGCCTGTCAACATGAATTCATAGTTCAATTAAGTTTTCCACCAAGTTTTTAAGGTGTATATATATATTAAGTTTAACCATACCTGTAGCCAGCAATTTCAAAAGAGGGTTCTTTTTCTGAAAAAGTGAATCATTTACCATAAAACCTTCATGCACCTAGATCAATTTTGATCCAGAGCAGACCTTTTCCTGATAAAAAAGGTGGATCATTCAATAATATTTTTATAGTTAAGTTGTTGCTGCCATTTAGATTTAATAAAAATTAAGACCACAGTTCCATAACAGGCCATATTACCCTTGCTGGTTTTTGTATTTGCAACAATCTGGCTAAGCAATTGTTTGCTGTCTTTTGAATTATACATCCAACTCAGTTAACTTATCTGAAATATTTTTTTTAGTGAATCCCCAAGTAATGCAAGGCAGGCAATGTATAATTCCACCTCGCAAGTAGTGGAAGACTTCAATCTTTGTCTTCGGGCTGGACAGGCCAAAAATCTTGGAAAACGCATAGCAGAGACGCTGACAGAGGAGCTATGGTATAGAAGCCCATATGCAGAGAGAGACTGGCTAGTTTAGTGCAGCTGCCATAGTGACCATTTAAGGAAGGCCATTTAATAAGATGATTCTCAAACTTATTGAAAGATTCAAAGGTCTGAAATATAGCCTGATTGGATTCTTTTTATGGAAGTTATGCTGTTTTTGTGAAATGGTCATTTTTCATATACATGTATTGGTATTTTCAGTGTGGGACTTGGAACTCACATGGGCATGAAGCCATATTGTTTCTGGATGACCATGTTACATGAAGTAGATAATTTAAATTTGATGATTTTCCACTTAATCATTATATTGCATCAAGATTGACAAAAAACTGTTTTGTGCACTGCCATCGTGAATGCATAGAAAGGCAAACTGTGTTTTTTGTTTTGTAATTTACAAGAATGATTCGTTGAATTGACATTCATTTAGACAAATAAAACATTGAAAAGGAATTGCTGTTTTTATCCAAAAACTGCTATACTGTGTTAAAACCAGTATTTACCATTGTCTAATGTAGTTTTGAAAATGAATGACCAAAAAGTCATTATTTTGAAAAATATTTTTTATTTTTTCCCCCCTCCGACCTCTGACAAAAATAAAAATCGTTCGAGAAACAGGTAATTAAAAAAAAACTGCCTAAAGTAAATGTAATGATGTTGTTCCTTTCATTCAGGTGCTCTAAGCTACACAGCATATTACAATTTAGCAGACTTTCCAGCTGGTGTGGTGCCAGTGACCACAGTGACAGCAGAGGATGATCAAAATCTCAAGTCTTACTACAATTATGATGTTCTTTGGATGAAAAACATGAAAATGGTAAATACCATTAGTTGATAGTTAGCGTAAAATATATCTAACGTAAAATGTATCTTTCCATTCAAATTGGCTGATATTTCTTGTGAACTTACACATTTGTCTGAAATCTCACACACACACACACACACACACACACACATGTAATTGTTAACATTTCTTACATCATCATTCACATAATGTTTGTAGTGTTAGTAAATGCCTAATCTGTTTAAAAGGCCTGATATCTGTCACTTTTCCCATGTCATCCAAACTGATGTTTTGGTCTTTGTAGGGTTGTGTTGATGCCATTGGCCTTCCTGTTGGAGTGCAGTGTGTTACAAAGCCTTGGCATGAAGAGTTATGCTTGAGAGTTATGAGGGATGTAGAAAATGGACTGAAAAAAGATTAATCAGTCAGATGTTTTCGGTAATATTATAGAAAACATCTGCTGCAGCGATCCAAGTGGGAAAAGACCCAGATTATTCATTACGAGTGACCAAACAATGATCATAATCTTTGCTGACAAACATTGAAATTTGAGAGAGAGAGAGACTGAGAACATGAAATTCATCTGTTGTGATAATTTGTGGCACTTGCACAGTTTTACTCTCAAGGGGTGCTTCTAGAATGTAACTGCTTACAGTGGTTTTAAGGATGTTTCTCTAAAAATTAATTTCAATGTGAAAATTAATTTCCTATGTGAAAGAAAGGTGTCCAAATTGATTTAAAAAAAAAAAAAAAAAAAAAAAAAAATATATATATATATATATATATATATATATATATATATATATATATATATATTTTTTAAAATAATTTCATTTACAAAAAACATGATTTTTATAATTTTTTTTT